CGCAGATCTGCTCCTCTCCTGAAGGTCCAGCAGCAGCTCTTGTCCTCTGGGAATCCAGCAGGCAAAAGGCTACCTGTGCTGGTCCAAACCCCAGCTTATATCCCTGTGAGCATGTTTGGCTCCCCACCCCTGGGGTGAGTCACCTCACAATGGGACAAGGTGATAATGGATCACTGGGCGGATGTGTCATGTATGGGTCCTTGGCAGCCCATTAATCAGAGACAGCCCCTGAGGGAGCCATCAGGGACATGGTGATAAGGATCACTGCCCCACCTTCTTTAACAGCTTGTGGAGACGAAAATAGAATACATACCATTGCAACCCAGGACAGTTACTCTTATATAGAGTGGGAGGAAATAATAAGGGCAGAGGGATTCAAAGTAGCAGAAACATGGAACAGGCTAAGTTGGAAGGGAACCTGAAAAATCATCTGGTCAAACATTTTATGGGAAAGGGAGATGGGTTTATCTAGCAGTCACATCTTGAAGACTTCCAATGATGTTAAAACCCATTGAATGCCTGGAAATGTTGTTCTAGTGAATGCTTGATTGTACTGTAAAAGATTCTTACGTTGAGATGAAATCTCTCCCAGTGCAACTTGTACCCTTTGCCCCTTGTCCTCTCCACATGACTCCATGTGGAGATAGAGCCTCTGTCCTCTCTGTAGCCACCCTTTAAGTGCTGGAATACTGTGATGAGGCCCACCCTGAGCCTTCTCTTCTTCAGGGACTAACACCTTCAGCCTTTCTTCACAGTACAGGTTCTTCAGTCCTTTGATTATCTTCATGACCCTTCTTTGGACCCTCTCCAGTCTGTCTGGTGACCAGAATAGACACAGTACTTCAGGTGCTGAAGCCATACACTCTCGCTCATGGTCAACTTCTTGTCCACCAGGACCCCCAGGTCTCTTTCAGTGTTCTGCTTCCCAGCCACACAGATCCTGGCCTGTTCTGGATTCTTTGCTTATGTTGCCCCAGGTCCAGGATGTTGCACTTGTCTTTGATAGACGCATGCAGTTCTTGCTCACCCAGTCCTTCAGCTTGTCCAGGTCCATCTGTAATATGTCTCTCACTTCTGACATGTCCATCTCACCACCAGTTTGGTCTCATAAGAAGACCTGTGAGGCTCATTTCAATCCCATCATGCACATAATTTATGCAGATGTTCAACATTATGGTCATGACAGGCTGCCAGCCTGAGTGAAAACCATTTGTCACCAACCATGCTTTTAGTGCAGCCTGTTAGGCAATCTTATAGACTACCCACCCAATCTGTATCTGACAAGACTGTACAAGAAAATGCCCTGGGAAATAGTGTCAAATACTTGGCTGAAGTATAGGTAAGCAACATCCAGTACTCATCGCTTGTCAACAGAATATGTTGAAGAGTGTCAAAAGAAAAAGAAGCAAAATAAGAGACTCAAAATTCAGAAGAAGGAGTCAAAACTCCGGTTTGACAGGTTTATGTCAATGAGAGGAAATAGGCTGAGAGGATGAGAATTTTAAGTTACTTTAAATTTCCTTGAGCTTGACAAAGACATTTATGCAAGAAGTACAGATGACTTACAATGAATTTTTGCCTGTTGCAGTTGTGTGTCTTTTGTAACATCTATGCAGTTGTGGAAACTACAGTGTGATCTGAATCACCTCACATGTTGTATTGTTTCCATTTTATTCTCTCTGCACAGGACACAGACATTGACTTTTCTGATGATATATTCTCCTTCCACTCTACTGCCATAAAGAAACACTAAATTCTTAATTAAGAATTAAGCCATATGTTGTAATTAAATACAACTAGAAAAATATATTATTGAACATAGTCTGAATTGCTGTAGACTAGTTGCACTTTTAATAGAATCCAGTCTTTTCCAGCTCAGGTTTTCTCCTCATCCACTTAGTCCTGTTTATCATCAGAAATGTGATAGCATAGGGACACTAGTCCCTGTGTGAAATGTTAAAGAAGTCTACTACATATTGAATGGATTTTTACTCTTCTTAGAGAATCAAGAAGTAATTTGACAAAAAATTTATAAATATATGTTCTGCCATCTTACTCCAGAAAACATAAAACAAATGTCAAGTATGCCTCGTCCTTACAGAACACTGAGGGAAATGTGGATGGGACATACAGTGGAGAATATAGACTTGAATACTACCAGATTTGGACTCCTGCTAACTATACGAAAGTCAAATTGCAGTCATTAATTTACTATATGTGATTGTTTCCATACTACCTATATTGCAAATTCTGATGGTTTTATCATGATTCATGCAATGAAATAACTCTACGAGGCTTGAGTTATAAGAAAATCTCAAAATTTCAGTTTTTCAACTAGAAAGTTTCTAGCCCTGGACAAATGAGGAAAAAATGCTAAAAATTATGTCAGAATATAATAAGCACTTAAAATTTCAGAGGAAAACCAACAATCTAAACTATACTGCTTCTAAATGTCCTTTCTTATTAGTAATCTCATGGTTTGGTTTTTTTTTTTGTGGGGGCTATTTGAGGAGAAGTAGAGGAGAAGAGGACAGCAGAGGAGTTTGTGTGGCTGGTAATTATTTTTTTTTCTGCAAAAGTACTAGCCAAAACACTGCTCGTTTTTCTTGCCTGCCTTACGCTTTTTTTGCCTTGAGTTCTCTGCCATATGTCACAGTCTTCATGAAGTCAACTGTTTTTAGAGGATTTTTCTATTGGCACAATTTTTGCTGAATCACAGTACCCATTTTCCAGAATTCCTACGAAAAATTGCAACGAATGACACATGGCCCATTCTTTTTCCAAGACTCTCCCTAGATTAAATGTCTCTGTGAGAGTCTCATAGTGTAAATAAAATGTTTCTCATATTTTGAGAATATAAGGTTGAAGATTAGGCTTGGACATAGAAAAGTTTTTGATTGCAGGACATTTGGATGTACTTGTGCTGACTGCCTTCAACCAAAATATGTTAACCTCTTAGGGATTCTACTGGGATCAATAGAAGAGAAAGAATTGAATACAATACAGAGAGTCAGATTCCAGAAATAAATTGTCTAAGTCAATTTTATAAATCCAAATGGATTGGTATCTATAATATTTATATTTCTTCTTTTGTATGTATATGGAATTTTTATATATCTTTAAATGCATAATGGTTTAATGTTACATTTATTAAGTTAAATCATAATCAAAATAAAACTAAAGGAAATAATATAGATTTTTTTACAGGTTAATAAAAAAAGGAGCTACTCATAGTTTTTTACAAGGAAATTTGATAGCATATATGACATTTAATATCTTGGCTACACTATACTTTTGCAATTTTTATGTGTACAGTTCTACAGTTCTATGTATACAAATGCAACTCTGCAGTTTTCCACAAGTTCATAATATTAAATCTATGAATTAAGACAATAAAAAAAAGAGGAATAACATTCAGCCTTTCTTTGTTTTAATCAAGGAGGTTTATTTAAATTTTCTCTGGCATATTTACTCAGAATTAATTCTCTTTTTTTTTCTTCTTTTAATTTGTATTTATTTATTTATTTTGAAAAAAAATCTAGCTGGTCACTGTGGTATTCCAGATCTTATAGTCAATGGACAAGTAATAGGAGAAAATTATGGATACCGAGACACAGTTGTGTATCAGTGCAGTCCTGGTTTTCGGTTGATTGGTTCTTCTGTACGAATATGTCAACAGGATCACAACTGGTCTGGTCAGCTTCCATCCTGTGTGCGTAAGTAAGCATGGCAACACATACTGATTTATGTTACAGGAATATCTATGTCTCACAAAATGAGGATTGACTCTGCAACTCTGTTCATTAAAAAAACCCCAAAACAATAAAAAAATTTAAATCAGACCCTCAAAAGTATGTGGTCACCTAAATTCTGCAGTTCACTTAAAATTTCCATTGCTTCTTTTGGCTGTTAAATGCCTGTTATTTAAACATGGATATGAAACCCCTTCAAAAAGTGACAGGACTTTGGAAATCTGGTATGTGACTTTGAAAATGGTTTTATGACCTGTAGTGGCTTTTGGAAATATTTAATGTACATTTACTTTCACTGTGGTAATTAGATAAGTAGATACTCTTGAATTACAATTTCAGCAATACAGATTAAAATGTTTGCTTCAGCAAATTGCAATTTATTCTTCTTTCTCACAGAGATGCTGTCATTTTGTTTTCTGGTTTTGGCTATTTTGAATGAATATTGTATTTAATTAATGAGGTTTCTTTTGTGTGATAAGTGTGTCAACATATCACATGAAATACCATTACATAATAACAGAAAATGCTCTATTTAATTTAGGAAAACTAAGTATTAGTAACTCCACTAAGTACTTAGGCCTCAAGGATAAAATATTGAGTTGATACTCACACATATTTGTAAGGAATAATTCCTGAGGAGCTAAAGCGCTGAAATATTTCCTTTCAATTTCAGATGACACATAATGAAAACTAAGTGCTTGCTTTTCTCCTGGTTCTTCAGAAGAGTTTTCTGCATTTGCTTTGATTACTGCATGCCAAATTCTATTTGGTTTGCTTAAAAATTTAAAGTTATTGAACATTTACTAAAATATTTCTTAATTCTTATCCAGGTTGGAGAAATATAAATACTTCATGAAAAGTGCTCTGTACTTATAATATCAAAACTTGAAAAGACTATTATAAGTTTATTATCTATTACATGATGCATAATGAAAAGTGTTAACAGCACACTCTGGTTTTTGTTTTTTTGCTGTGTGCTATGCTAGCTGTTAGCTGTGGTCACCCTGGTAGTCCTATTTATGGAAGAACAAGTGGAAATGGTTTCAACTTCAATGATGTTGTGACATTCTCATGTAATACTGGGTATGTTATGCAAGGACCAACCAAAGCACAGTGCCAAGCTAATAGGCAGTGGAGCCACCCACCGCCCATATGCAAAGGTAAGAATGCAGCATTTTCAGATTTCCCACTACATGTTGGAAAATTAAGGTTGAAAAATAAACAGAGGTTAAAGGGACACTGTCGATACAAAAATTATGTAGACATAATTGAGAGCTTATGTGCTGAAATAATGTTCTCTACATTTTTAACCATGGTTCTAATAGATGCATAAGAAAACATACTCTTTTTTTTTTCCTTTTATGTTTCCATTGATCTCAGTGTGCATCTTGACTTTTTAAAATTTTATTCTAATTCCACATGATACATTTGCATTGATTCTCAACACTTCTAGATAATGTATCTAAAATTCTTTTGGTGAAAATAAAACTATGAAAATAGTGCTGTTTATAAGCCCTTTTAGAAAGGTTTTATCACCATTGTCTTTTTTTAATGTTATGTGTTTTAAAATATTGAAATTGTTTTCATTTAGAAAAATTACTTTTTGCAGTGACCTGCTTGTACATACACATCAATTCTGTTGAATGTTTTTCAGCATCTTCTGTGCAGCTTCTATGGACTTTTATATGTACATGTTATGTTTTTATGATAAGTTTATTTCCTGTATTTTCCTTCTAATAGGTATTCTCCACTTTCATTTGATCACTTTGCCTGAGGCTGTACTGCCAAATAGTGTACAGAACTTAAATTTCCAAGCGACTTTTTGTTGATAAGAGGATATTATATTTAAAATTTCAAATACTGAACATGTACTGTGTATTAAGGGTACCTACTTATTCTCAGTTCAGTTGCTATCAATTACCTTGGTATTCTGGTATTGCAGAGTAATGTGCTCAAGCATTGGATAAGTTATCGGCCTGTAGGGATCAGTAAATAAGTTGATCAGGTTATTCTTTGAAATTTTACACAATCATGAAATCTTACATTGGTTTTAGACTTTCAGAAAAAAAAGAACTAACTATGTGTAGTGCATCATTAGTCATGTCTGTAATATGCAGTGAAATCAATTTTAATGAATATGATTTTATTTGCTTTGAAGTTAAATAATAGCAATAAAAATAATAAAGATGTTAGCTTGATTATTTGTTAACTGCCTAAAGTGCAATATTATAGGAAAGGCTGCACACCTTTGTGAAAACTGAATTTGAAATTGTCATACAAATTCAGTAGTGCATTTGCTGTTACTACACTATTTACAACTTTTCTAAATAGCTAGGTTCCTAACCAACTGTAATAATGGTAGAAAGCTATCAAAATGGTCAAAGTTCCTTGTATTTTATTTCAAGTGCTCACTACTCCAGATTAATTAATAAATTATTTTCATTGTTTTAAACGCGTGCTTAACAATTTGAACATGGGCAACACTGTCAGGCACATGGTGTGATTCTTGGGGCTGTCCTGTGCAGCGTCAGGAGTTGGACTTTGATGATCCTTGTGGGTCTTTTACAACTTAGAATATTCTATGATTCTATGAATGCTCAACTGTTATAAAATGCTTGTTAAAAACAAGAGAACTTCTAGGAGTAGCACACAGACTCCAGTATTTAGAACAGTGGCTAGAGGGGAGAACAGTGATAAAATAACTACAGGATTTAGGTAGAAAAAATTATCTTAAATTGCATTTGGCAATACCTTCTATTTCTTTGTAGATTATAGAGCTTTTCAGCATATTTTGATACTTTTGTGTACACACATCCATGCACATTTACCTCTGAAATTCAAAGGCAAATGAATAACCCCATGCACCAGCACAGTCTGGGGGCCAACCTGCTGGAAAGTGGCTCTATGGAGAAGGACCTGAAGGTCCTGGTGGACAAGAAGCTGTGCATGAGCCAGTAGTGTGCCCTTGGGGCCAAGATGGCCAATGGTATCCTGGGGTGCATTAGGAAGAACATTGCCAGCCGGTCAAGGGAGGTGATTCTGCCCCTCTACTCAACACTTGTGAGGCCACACCTGGAGTTCCGTGTCCAGTTCTGGGCTCCTCAGTACAAGAGAGACATGGAGATCCTGGAGAAAGTCCAGAGAAAGGTTGCAAAGATGATTAGGGGACTGGAGCGTATCTCTTACAAGGAAAGGCTGAGTGAGTTAAGCCTGTTCAACTCTAGAAGAGATGACTGAGAGGAGATCTCATCAATGTCTTTCAGTATCTGAAAGGAGGGTATCAAGAGGATGAAGCCACATTCTTCCCAGTGGTGCCAAGAATGAGGACAAGAGGCAATGGGCAGAAACTGGTGCACTGGAAGTTCCACCTGAATACACATGCAGATATATAGATTTGCACACACGTGTATGCACGTGTATGTATGTAAACATGCAGCTGATTAGAAGGATATAGGGATAGATATTTTTATGGGAACTTTAGTTATTCAGAGTAATTTTGAATAGGTGATGATGTGTTTACTTGACCAGAGGAGTCAACCACAGAAAATATGTTAAAAGAATCTCTGTGAGCACCCAAATAAATATTATACTGCACCCACAGATAGCTGTAAAACACAAAAGAAAGGGGAAAAAAATCCATCTTCAGAAATTTTCTGAACTATAAATCCTAAAGTAGCTGAGGACTCAGAAACTTCATCAGTATTCTTAACCATCAAAGTATACTTACATTTTTAAAAGCACGTACCCATTTGTTAGGAAATATTCCTATTCCAGCAGAATCTCCACAGTCTTACCTAACTGACTGTGTGCCCTTTAGCTGAAAATCTCTGCCTTGGAAGGTGATCCATTATCAAAATGTTAGTATAGGAACAGAAGTATATTTGAATGGCTGTGTGAGTTAGATCAAAGGCACATCAAGCCCCAAAATGCGTTTCTATCTGTGGACAATAGTTTATGTCAAGGCAGGAGCATAAATTGAATATATTGTTATGTCCAATCACTTTTAGTGGCAAATACTTTTACAATATCATCACACTCTGTAAAGAAACATTTCCTTTTATTTGTCCTGAGTTTAACAACTTCTGGCTTTAGTATCTCATAGTTTCTTGCCATCTTCTTAATTCACTGTCATTATTTATAAAATCAGTGTATATAAAACCAGAATAGCAAAACATGGGATGTTTCTCATGCAGAGAATAGGAGACCATTTAAAAACCATTTTGGCAAACTGTACTTGTATGACTCTTAAGTCTGTGCTCTGTTTCTTTTTAGTGGTCAATTGCTCTGATCCTGGAATTCCTGCAAATTCTATAAGAGAAAGTAAAATTGAACATGGAAATTTCACGTATGGCACAGTGGTATTTTATGACTGTAATCCTGGATATTTTTTATTTGGCTCTTCAGTTTTAATTTGTCAACCAAATGGCCACTGGGACAAACCTCTACCTGAATGTATTAGTAAGTAGATAATGTGTTTACTTCTACAAAGAATGTAGAATGTAGGTATTATTTTACACAACAATTCCCTCAGTCTCATGAGAGCAATTGCAATAATCATATTTATATACATTTGTGTACTGATGCAAGGTCGCAGGTGAAGCAGCACAGTTATATTGTTATTGTGTGTAGCAAATAACATAGAATTCTTGGGAAATGCGATAGCCAAAACAAATATCTCTGAATGCTCCAACCTAACAATTCCTGGCAGCAGGGATACAGGTCAAAATTTGTCCACTGAATCGGCCAATATGTAGCCTCTATTGGATGCAAAGTTCTTGTCACACTGAAACTTAAAAACTTAAGTATGAAATTATTTACTCCTATCAGTAGAATAATTTACGGGCTTGGTACAACAGTAACATCAGACTATGAAGACACTAAACAAAGAGAAATGGCACTGTAGGACACCAGAAGTGTCCTTTGTAACATGTCCTCAGTTTACCACACTACTACATGTACCTGAGCATCATACTTATATGCAACCTATCCACTAAGACAAGAGGATCAATACAAGGAGGTGTTTTTAATTCTGGCTTGCCATGAACAACTTTCTAACTGTGATGCAGGTATAGCCAGAGATGCTTCATATGCTTTTAATTGGCTGGGACAGCTGATTTACCTGGCTCTTTATAAGTATGAAAAAGGTTGGCCTAGGATCAAACTTTTTCACTGAGAAGGGCTGAAAAATTTATTTTCTAGAGATTAAAGGAAAAACAGATTAAGGATTCCTTATTCAGGAATTGTGGACTGATAATTGTAATACTGTAGATATTTGTTCTCAGGAAATTTCTCTAGTTCTGCTATTCTCTCTCTAAAAATGATTAAAAAAACCCTGTTAAAACTTTAAATTATGGAAGATGTCCTTTTTCTTTGATGGGATAAATAGCTTGATTGTAAGTCAGAGTTAAACTTATAAAAATTGTCTATTGATTTCACATTAAATTTAAAGGTAACATTACCATTTCAGAAAGATAAATGTTACTTAATAGTAACATATCTCCAAAGACAAAGGAATTCTAAAGGTAAAGTTGCAAATATTTCTTCTTTTTACATTTGTATTTTTATCTCTTAGTCTTCTTTTCAGAATTGTCATAAGTAATTTAATAATACACATTTTTCTTTTCTTTTACACTGAACTTTGGGAGTAAGAGCGCTATCTGTACTTTTGAAAGGGCATCCCCAGCTTTATTTGTGCCATTTATATAGAGGGGGTCAGTGAATTCTACCTAGACTCTACCCATGATAATTTGTAATCATAAGCTTACCAAAACTTATTCTGTTGCAGCTATTAAATTTTTTTTGTAAGAGCTTTCAGCTTCTGCAGTTTTTTGCAAATTATTGCTGGAGAGGGACATTTTACAAGGGCATGTATTGATAGCACAAGAGGTAATGGTTTTAAACTAAAAAGGGGTGATTTAGATTATATGTAAGGAAGACTTTTTAAAATTTTTTTTTGTGAGGATGGTAAAATAAAATGGAAGAAATTAATGGAAATAAAATGGAAGATTAATTAGCATTAGAAGAAAGAAAAGAAATATGGTCAACTCTTCAGATGAAACCCCAACCTGAAAACATGAATATCCAATTAAATTTTGTGGAATGCATTATCAGGTTAAGGCTATAAGCTAATAAGTTAAGGGTGCTATAATTTTTTAAGCAGTTATTAGGGATCCAGGACTTCTAGACACATGTGCAAACAGAAAAGAGAAGTGCATATAGGAAAGCCCAAAGTTGGAAGATGGAAAGTACCAGTATGAAATTAACTTTTCCTCTGTGACATTTGAATAGGGCAAAAGAATCAATCAAGAGCAATACAGATATTAAAATATTCTAAAAACTGTGAATGTTTTTCACAAAAAGAAAAAGTTTCATTTTTGCATTTTGTTGAAGCCTGCCTGACCAACATGCCATTTATTAACAATGGTTTGAATTGGCATTCTTTGCAATCATACATAGCTAATAGTAGATTTTAGTTATAAGCAATTGACTAAAAGAATATGCTAACAGCAAGTGCTCAGTTTGTAAAGCCGACTGTTCTGACCATTTTACTCAAAGTCCTGTGAGCCTACAAAATGATCACAGGGGTTAGTGACACTAGGTAGGAATCTAAGTCAGTCAATGACATAACTAAATCCTTTGTGGGGCTGTCAGGAAGGTTCTGCAACTTGCAAATTGGAACCCTGGGAGAATGTGTATCATGAAATGCAGACCAATATATACATATATACAGATATATATATATATCAGTTAAAGGTCAAGAATAACCATTAGAGGAAGGCACATGATTTTGGTCATATCTGTATTGTACACCATTGCAATATTTCATGCATCTGAAATGCTACAGAATTGAATACATTCTCAACCCTGATCAGGCTTCTGATCTGACTTTTTTTTTTAATAAAAAAATCCTGGTGGAGATAGTACTGAATATGATGAAGTATTGATAAAAACTACAATTGCATTATTTAAGGGGCTGGTTTAGTACCCTGATATTTACAGCTCTAATTTGTGTTTTTCATGATGCATAAATGCAAATATCTTTGGTCAAGATGAGCCACATGCCATGAACAGGTGTGAGGTGAAAAGAAATGAAACTTGAGAGCCTGGATTCATTCTGTGAACAATGTAAATTTAGTTTATAAATTTTAACTGTGGAGTTCCTGAACTTGACATATTTAACTTACTCTTACATTAACAACTTGATCTGAATTCTTAAAAGAGAGATGAATTTCTGCCTATTCTCCTCCACAGCAGGGACTTTGGCAGATACTGTCTTCCTGTAATATTTGTCTGAAGAGTACAAGTATGAATGTATATTTGTGTTTGTGCATGTGGTCATGCCATAAAGATCAGCTTAGTAGACGACTGTATTTGGGCATCAATATCTGTATCTAAAATACGTTTTTTTGACACTTCCAAACACTTGTTTCACAGCTTTTGGTCTGAAGTATATTTTGCATTCCAGTCACGTGATGTTTCCTCTCTTCCCCAAACCCTGAAAATGGCATCTGCTTCACAAAGTTAATGTATGCAGTTATGAAAATGAAAACTGATCAGTGATAATAACCTATTTTTATCTCCAATAATTATGCATTGTAGTGATTGACTGTGGACATCCTGGTGTTCCTCCTAACGCGGTCCTGTCTGGAGATAAATACACTTTTGGGTCTACTGTTCGTTATACCTGCACTGGTAGACGATCGCTGCTCGGGCAGTCATCTCGTACATGTCAGTTAAATGGGCACTGGAGTGGATCTCTTCCTCATTGCTCAGGTAATATTTTTGAATTAATGAGTATATCCTGAAGTTGATTTGAACTAATTTTAATTTTTTCTGAAGACTATTTAAAAATCTGGAAAATCATATATAAATCTGAAGTACTATCTCGGTAGAAGCAAAAGAAGTAAAACCAAAGTAAGTGTAAAGTATCAGCAAGAAAATCATTTGGAAGAAGTAGTCTTTCCTAATAGCATTTAAGATGAATAAGAAATTTCTCATTCAATAGACTATTAAAGGTGCTGGTTTGGTTTGAAAATATTTTTTATGTGGCTTCTGGAAAGTATTAATTTCCACAGTGAAACCTTGCACTATTGTCTCTTCAAGATTGTGATTAATTTTATTTTTCTTTTAACTGGCTTGATGACATCTCGGGTATAACTTGATTTTGTAATACATCTATCTTTATAATAAGGCCAAGTGGACTTTATGTAATTCCAAAATATGATGGTTGTGTTTTGAGGGAACAGCATCTAATCCTCTTAATAGATTAGCCCTCACCAAAGTTGAGATATGTTTTCTGCACACTTTAATGCTTAGTATAGTTTTGTTTCACAACTATGTAAACAAAGATTGTGATAAAGGTTAACCGTGTTACCAGTTTTAAATCTCAGGGAAGGTTCTTTCTTGTCATGCTCATATTAAATTATATAATTTAAATAAATCAGTGGAAAGAGATACAGTGGTCCAGGTGAGGATCTGACATATTCCAATCTTATTTTTCTTTCAACCTGCCCTTAACTCTTCACTGTATTCAGTTGTAAGCTGATTATGACAGCTACAGTTACAGAATATACAATTTTGTACTGCATGGCACAGAAATAGTTAAAAATTAATATGAAATATTGAAACAAAGCTTCTCGGTTCAAATCTTGCATTAAGGTCCAAAGTGCTGGAAGAATTTTTTCAGTATCTGAAACTCCCTCTGTGAGCTTTTAGGAACCTAAATTATAACAGAATTTAGAAAGGGTAAACACCTAATTTAATCCCAAAAATATCTGTTAACAAAGCAGAAGGAAATTTGCCACAATAAGAACAAAGACCAAATTCTCATAACCTGTGCTATGCACCAGAAATCACACCTTAATGTAAAATAATATTGGGTAATAAATAATTATATATTCATGTGGTTTGCAAATTCCAACTATGTCAATAAAAATGTTTTTACAGATAGCATGCATCCATATTAGTTTTTGGGGAAAAAATCCTCTTTATATAAAATATAAGGCTACTTATCATAGTTTTCCATTATCTTCACAAGAAATAATTTAAATCAAAATTATAAATT